TCTTCACAGGGGATTTGATGCTCATCATTTGCCAACAGGTAAGTCAAAGAAGTTCACCTTGATGTGATTTTCCAAGTGGAACGTTTCAACCCGCTGCACAGTGTTACACTGCTTGGAAAAGTTCCTTCCTTGCTATTTAAGAAAAAAGCCATGACAACAGTGGCGGCTCCTGCAAAATCTCTCAGGGGGGGCAAATGTCTGGATGATTGATAAGGATAAGGTCCACCCATGCAATGAATAAATTAACAGCTTAAGCATGTAAAGGCAACTTCACTTCTTTAATATTAATGAAAAATAAAGTGACTCTTACAATACATCTTGTTTGTTTATATACTCACTATTAAAACAAACCACTCAAGTTTATTGTATTAAAGATTCCACTAGGTAGCGATAAATTATATTGTTGGATGAAACGTGCTTACGTAGATGACGTTAGCACGTATGATGACGTAAGCACGTTGGGGCTTGCCCTCCCAGAAGCCATAGAGAATGCATTGGAGCGCCCCCGTTCGAAAAAAAACATCTTTCAATGTAAGTCTATGGGGCCACTCGGGGCGATTCTCAGCCGGAGTGAAATCGCCCCAAAAGAGGCGGTACTCCACAGAACGTGACATGACGCTGATTGGACTATATCCAGAGGCTGACAGTGACGGCTAGCGTGACTGTGGTTGAATGACATTGGTGGTGCGTCGCCCAATCGCCCTAATGAAGAAACCACCCCTGCATGACAATAATCACCCCCCCCCCCCGCCCACTTTTCTGGTAACGTGCAGACTCGCACATTGATAGGGCTACTTTAAAACAAAACCACCCATTGCTTTCAACGTCATAAACAACCTGTACATCAACTGTGGGATGGACAGCAATGATGAGTTAACTAGAGTAAAATATTACAGTATTTCAGCGAGCGTGTAGATCAAGGACTGACACATTAAATAAACATGAATTTAAACTCTTACAGATATAATAAATGTAACATGATCTTGATATGAAGCTTTCATTGACCTGCAGGAATCTATACGCTTTGGTTCTTTTGGTAACCTCATGTAGGTAGAAAAATTAATAATAAATCACGACGTTTCGATCGCAACACAAGCAACGTTTTAACGCGGTGGGTTCACACGATATTGTTTTTTTCCGAGACCAAGTACTCCGCCAACACTTCGGGCAAACCATCAAGATGTGTCCATGAAGCCATCCATATATAAACACAGACACAATTTCAACCGAGAATATGGGTACAAACTAAGCAATAAATTGGAAGGATGTTATTAACCAGGTAAAGTCATAACTTGCTGTGATGTTTCCATCCTTCCTGCAATTGTTTAGCAGTTATTTTCTACTATCTGAATTATATCACCTTGTTAAATGTCTTAACATTAACAGACTAAGGTCTCACTAACATAGCCACCGCTGCTCCCTTTGCCTCGATGTAACGGTGGCTCTCGCTGTTCAATAGACTGTATGTCTCACTGGCACGGTCATCGTTACGGTGGTTCTCTTGCGTTGATACGCTGGCCTATCACTGTGCAGCAGCCAACGCCGCAGCTTATGTTGCCCACGAGGTGGCGATATGCCCGGTCCTCTGACACAGACACGCTATCTTCCCATTAAACTCGTTTACATTGACATGCCAATCTCTCCCTTGAACGCAGCTGTTGTGCATGCGTGCGGCGACGGGACTCCATTCCATCTCTAACCCCGCCTACTTACCCTTGGGTGACACCCACCTCAAACCTAAATATGATCTCTTGTTGCAGCAGCCTTGTCTTGTTCAGCAGTTCTACGGCTGTATCTTTCCACCTGATGACGATTGCTTGTGTTGCGATCGAAACGTCGTGATTTATTATTTATTTTTCTGCCGACGTGACTTTACCGAAATAACCAAAGAGTATAAATGTTACATGGTGAGCAAAATTTAAAGTGAACAAAATATTGCAAGCACTGTTCTTTTTCAGTGGTTCAGCTCTTTTTAGAAAATGCCACCCGAAATGTTCAGGAAATTGACCTGGCATGCTGTCAGAGAGCATCTCATTCTTGTTTAATGAAAGCTCGTGTGTACAGTTTATCTGTATGGTTTATCTGTAGCTTCAGGCATGAACAAAAAAAGAAACAGGATTAAAAAAAAAACAATTGTCAATATTTTATTCTGTCTCAAAAACAAGCTTGCTTCTTTAACAGATAGCAAACACAAAGGGGTAACATGACATCGTACTGTATAAACAAATATTCAATACACCTCAGCAATATTTTCCGAAGGGTTTTAGGAATTGCGTGGGTAAGACAAGATGAGCAATGCAGAAGAGAACATCGCAAGGTGAATGTTTCAGATATGTTGAGCTGGGCCAGCTGCAAACGTAGGCATTGGAATAGTTTCCATGAGTGACAACCAAGGGACAAGACCTTAAGACCAGATGGTGGGATACTGTTAGGGCAGATCTTGGAGGCTCTGTGACCACTGCGTAGCAGCTGTGGGAGCTGGAGGAGGGTAGTGAGAGCGTTGGCGAGGCACGGTGACACGAACAGCTTTGGCCATGCACTGCCTTACCCTTGTGCATCGCACCTCCGATTAGCATGGTTGGCTACGTACGGTGCGAAAGAGGTTCGACATACGTACATACATACAACAGGCAATTGCTCTCACTGTTATCGTCCGGTGGTAGATATGAAGTTGTACACTCGTAATGACCATCGATCTCTCTTAACAGGTCGGCAGTGTGGTGATTAGTGAATAAATAGCCAATATGCTTTAAGTTAGTTCATAATTACATCACCAAGAATGCAAATGAATAACTTCGTTATCGAATATCTGCAGTACTGCAATTACATCACTGTAAATGCTGTTTCCAAATGCGTCTGGTTGCGTTCCAAACATTGTAAAGGGTTTTATGCAACATTGATTTCAGCTATTACAAGCATGCGTCGAGTTTTGCTATCGAGTTGTAATAATGTTAAATCAATTTGGCTATCTGTTAAGTCCTACATTGCCAATGCTATCCGTCACACAAATGTCTTTACTGGCGATGAGATCTAAAATATTTTCCTCAATATATTGCGACAGTTCATGATGGCATTTGATCAATAGCAATTTTAAAATAACGCTATTCAGAATCACATTAACTTTTCAAATCCTGTCGAAACTTCTCCTTAAAAAATGAAATGAAAGTCACTGGCAATAAATGTAGTAAATCCACTTTCCATGATAATGTATACATCTTCAGCGAGGCTACTGACAGTTCATTCAACAAATGTGTGTCGCAGATTGAACCCTAAAGAGCCTCGCTGAGTCTCAAAACCTGTTCATGAGCATTTCACTTGGGATATTTGGCCAATTGATCCTTATGGCGGTACCCCGGGTTACCAAATAATAAAAAATGGGCCGAGGCAATTAAATATTTAATTTCTGGGACACTATTTTTTCCAGGGGTGTACTTCAACTCCGCGACTGGGGTACCAATCAATCCGAAATCGGTGCCACACTCCGCGATGTCGAAACGCAGCGAGGACGATTGCGCCGAAACCCTGAACGCTCGCATGTGGCACCGTGGTGGTGCATCGTGTACAGCTCGTCGAGACGAGTCGATTGCCGCATCGCCGACCATCGACGGACTAAAAATGACTGCATCACGGACATTGTGCGAGAGCCGGGGTGCTGTGGTACCCTGGGATACCACCATGAGGTTAAATTCCCGATTAAGTCTTTTTTTGTGTGTCAGGGGAAACCTAATCATCCAGGGAGGAAAAAAATATGCATATGAGAGGATACAATTTAAAAACCATTTGCATAGGTCAGAAAGCTATCTCAACTAGAATCATTCTCCAGTACTCATGCGGGTCAGCAGTGTCACTCACATGACATCTGTGTGAACCATCATCCCTGCCTACAAAGTTCCGGGTGACAGGCATGCGCTACTTTATATCCACACGCGCTGTTAAAAAACATGTACTTCATTAGTTGCCAGTGCTGCACATTTATTAATTTGCCTACCCATTCCCTCAGTTATCTTTAATGAGAAAACCAGCCCCTAATTATACACCTTGCGATAATGTGCAATATTTAGCCTCGAGCTGCGAAAGACTGGAATCAAACAGCACAAACGTAATGGCACAAACTCATAATGAAATGGAGGCAGCGGTAATGGCTGTGTAACACCCTCGGAAGGGGGCACGTGGGAAAATAATTGTGCCAGATATGAACAATTGCTATTACTGTGCTTGCATTTGACACAAGAAGTTATTGCCTGGATGTTTAAATTGTTAATGCACCAAGGACATGCGGGTTGTGGGCACACCACTGCCTTTTCAATACACTTGCAGCTTCAACTGGGTATCTTTACTATATATATAATACAGCACCGGATATACATTTTTCCATTTGAACTTCGCATTGCACAGTATATTCTAAAAACAATAAATATTACATTGGCACGTTAAAATAAAAACAAACACATAAAACATACATTATTATTACTACGACCATGATATTCTTGTTCTTTTCGCTTATTTTTTTTTTAAATACACTTTGAAATGTGTACTGGATATTATATTTACGTAGCTACCTCTTGCAGAAGAGTCAATGGCCAATAACTTATTAATTTCTGCACACGGTGTTTTCCCTTCTCCATGGGATGAAGTTTATTTTGTTCTTTTTTTTTTGGTGTGAGTGTGGAAATGTTTGAGCATTCTGTTACCACCGTTTTTTGTCCTGTCTTGTGAGTGATAGACTGCAGTCTTGCCAATGTGCTAGTGTCTTGTCAGTTTGTCTTGTCAGAGTGCCTGTATTTGGCTCCCGGACCTTCAGGGTGTCCTAAGAATCCTGACTGTGGGTAAGCACACAAAGAAGCCTGTTAATCTTACCTCGAAAAGGGACGCAGCTAATCACTCACCCAGCAATAAATGTATGGACCACACCATTGTATTATTTACAAAGTCAGGCGGACAGTATTGATAATGCCCAAGTTGAGATCTCTGTACCCTGCAGTATTGCAGAAAGTTGTAAACTTGGCGCTTTTCAAATTATATTAACTGCACTGTAATAAAGATTGTGCTTCGAGTAGGCTTATGGTAATACACGCAAATATATTTTTTAAATGCATTTACATACAAATGTGACTCATAAAGTTGTATACAGGATTCACATATTGTACATAGAGTATAGAGTGGTGAGTACAAGTATATATCGACGTGCAGATCGTAGATTGAAACCCACAGAATATTCACATGCAATATATCTGGTATACTGTGGTACCATTTTTTCTTATCCCCTATTCAAAATATTGTATACCAGGATAGCACCGATGCAAAAAAGACATTCAATCAAAAATATAAGCAACAACAAGATAAGATGGAGTTGCAGTTGGTAGAAGAAGAAAAACTTTTTTTTTGCCACACTGGCAAAAAAAAGATGTAACTCAAATTCAAGGCACTTTCTTGCATCTGAGTGCATTTATGCATGTGCGCTCATGCATGACCTCCGAGCCTGCACATTACCTTGTGCCCTTGCATGCATTGGTGCGTGCGTGTGCCTGTTTTCCCAAGGGGGGGGGGGTGGTTGTGTGTGGTTCACACACACACAGGTCGACTCAGCCTCAAATGAGTACCTGGTGCGGTGTGTAAACATCGCCACTCGGGAGACAAAGGCGGCCGAGCGTGGTGATGGCCACCCACCCCCTCGTGTGCCGTGATGGCCTTCATAGGTGCTCGCTAAGAGCACTTGCCCCAACAGTCTGTGACGGCTATACGGGGGATCTTTATCTTTGTGGTTCAGTGTGGTGTGGTGGATCATGCACGGACTCGCCCCAAAACAGTACTCAAGTGTACGCGTTTGGGTAGAGTTACTTGGAGCCTATTTTGTCTTTCGAGTCCACGGATGTGCATTTACATGTCATCAATTCAAATTTCAGCACTTTGAGTCAACACGGTCGATGCAATGCTGCTGCCTACATTTCTATCTATAACCACCACAGAATATCTTCTTGGTTCTTTCGGTAAAGTCACGTAGAAGGAAAATAATAAAAATAAAACATTATAAAATACAATTCTCACGACGTTTCGGCCACAACGCAAGCAGCCGGCCGAAACGACGTGAGAATTGTATTTTATTATGTTTCATTTTTATTATTTTATTGTTTCCCTTCTACGTGACTTTACCGAAAGAACCAAGAAGATGAATCCCTGCAGTCACGAAAGCTTTAAATCGAAACACCACAGAATAGGTCCAAATATTAGTTGGACAAACAGTCTGTGATGCTTCCTGCCAACTTACCCACCCCATCCCAAGGCCCCACATTTGCGCGTTAACGAGACTAGCAAGGCGCGAGGTCTTTAAAACAATTAATTGGTAAATCATTAATGCACATCTGTTTTAATCGTGGTGTTTTGTGCATGTTTTTTTTTAGAGGAGGAAATTAGCATGTTTCAAAGTTAATGACTTTACAGCAAGTTTATCTGCACAAGAGGGTTGAAACTAATGGGAAAAGCAATGGTTGAAGTGAACGCCCTGTGGTATCGATTTGTCCAGCGGTGTCGACATCTCGAAGTCCCGCATGCACATGCCGTCGTATCAATTATCGCGTGATATTCTCGTTCAAATAATCGCGACGATACAAAATGTGGCGGCCAATGACAGTGAGAAATTTAAATTATTCAATAATGAGCACAGGTTAGAACCCGGTCCATAAATGACGTCACGCGATTTTGGACGATTTTTGACCCCCCTCCCGCCCCATCGTCACGTGGCGTCACAAAAAGTCAGACCCTCCCCCCCCTCAAATATGACGTCACAAAGCTCTGCCCCCCCCCCCCCAAAAAATAAACATGCTTCAAATCGCTTTAAACTATTGTCATTGTAGTGCGTATTTAATGTGGCGCTGCACTCTGATGTTGTAGGAGAAAACATTAATTAAAAGTCTATTTAATTAAGTAGAACGTGTCGTTTATACTTATTTAAAGTTGCGCATTTTTATGTGACGTCTCAAACCCCTCCCCCCCCTTCGTCACACATCGTCACAAATGTCTGACCCCCCCCCCCCTCCTAGGTGCGTGACGTCATTTATGGACGGCCGCTTATATGTTCTGCTGTATCTTTGTGTACATGTGAGAGCCGAACTTTTTTTGAGAATTGGTTATGTATAAGTGTTCATACCGCCATATTCATTTTTACTTTTTATTTTTCATTAAACTACCCTCAACACAAACACCTGTCAGCTGTTTTTTATTTGTCGTCTAAGCGAGCCGCAAAATAGCGGGATGTGTGTGACATCATTGTCTTTTTCTCAAAACATTTTTACCCAACGCTCATGCTTACGTGCACAATATACTCGGTACACAGGATGGTTTTTTCAACACGCACAAGCTTTCGGAGTTTCGCCTATTCATAACTAATGTTGAACTTAGAAGCTCCAATCTGCTCAGATTGGGTCTTGAATTTGTTTGCCACAAATCTCACTGAACGAGCGGGACAAAAATGGGTATATTTTTAGACACGGCAACAGCAAAAGTGTTTCTGTATGCAAATTAGTGAAAAGCATTACAATGTATTGTTATATATCTTTCGTATCTGAGTATATTGTATCCATAGTCTTGCAACATGCCAGTCTTCTTGGAATTGTGCACATTTTTTGCATTGCTAACCTTGGATTAGATATTTTATCTCGTGATGTAGAATCTGTAATAGCAGCACGATATGTAATAAATGTATTTTTACCGCCACAATTGCACTGCCTAAATATCTCCTTATCTAACCAATGCAGACGCGAATTTGTACGACTTATCTTTGGCATACACATGCTGCATAGATATTCGTATTCATGAGTGTTATTTTAGACGTACACTGTAAGCGCAACATTTTCAAAAATTTACTAGTTTATATACTTATCAGAAATGTTTCTTGTGCTATATGTCAACATTTCCAAATATACTCATTATATCTATTGCTGAAACATGTACCAACCTCAACAATTGTGTAAATAGATAACTCAGACATTCAGTGTCCCATACATTCTGTCTCAAAAGTAGGGCACGTTCACATTTGAGGCATCTGGCAGAGCAAAGCAATTAATTACAAGTTGTCATAATCGCAAGTGGAGGTAGAAAAAAAAAGTTGCTTATCATCTTACCTTCTCAGCGGTGATCTGGCCACCGCTTGGCATCCTGTGGGGTCCCCTGTAATCTTGCGTCAGGGTGTGGACAGCGGAGCACTGGAGTGCTGGCTCCAGTTCCGTCTGCGGCATCTCGTCGGAATGGACCGCAACATCTGTCGATGCGATCGGGTGGCTCCCTCGAGCGCACGCTCCAGATGCGGTGGCGCCGGCCGCCTCCTGCGCTGCAGAGGACACTGAAGGTTGCGGTTGCACCAGGGAGCACCTCATGAGCCTCTGCAAAGCTGCCTCGGCCAAATCCCCCTGAAAGGTCTCCTTCGAAGAGCCGGCACGGTGTCCACTTTGACAATCTCCGGGCTCAGTCACATTTCCAACGTGCGCTCTGGCGGCTTGTACGTAGCTGGTACAAGCCTCTGTCTCGACGGGAACGTCGCCTGCTCTGATTGACGCGTGCTTTTCTAATGACACCGGCTCTGCTGCCGTGGCAGCATCCATCCTCTGCGCCGTGTCTGAAGTTCTCAAAGGGGCCGACTTCCCCGCCTCCTGCTGCGAATGCCTCTCCTTGTACAGGCAGGTGCTGGGGCAATTCGAGTGGAGTTCCCTGCGCGGCACGGCATACCACCAGTTGGTGACGTACGGAAAGCGGCACTCGGACTTTTCTGCCCCTTGGTGGAAGGCCGGTGGAATCGTTGAGGAGGCCTCTGGCCCTTTGGCTGGGATGGATTCAAACTCGTCACTCGCCGAGCCGCCGGCACTGCCAGAGCAAGAAGAGAAGCTGCCCGAGGCAGACCCCGAGCCCGAGCGGGTGACTGTCGTTATCCCGCTGTCTGATGATATCCTCCGGGATGGTTCTGTCGCCGGCGATGGCAGGTGGGGCTTCGTGGGAAGTCTGGACTTGTCAGTAATCACAGCGGAAGCTCTATGCAGGAGTGGGGACCTGGCTATCTTTGCTTCTGGTGGCATCTGTGCAGCAACATAACAGTACACAGTTATTAGGAAATACTAAGTGTAATATTCACACAACAACCAAATAAAACTTAGACGTATATATTCGTCTTTATCTGTGACAAATTGGTTTCTTTCATATATATATAGCATTTACTTCCTGTTCATAACGTATTGAGGAAAGTTCCAGAGTGAATACCCCACAAATCCTCCTAGATCAGCAGTCGGTAACCTTGCGTCTCGTATTCACGTGCAATGCGATTCTTGAAATACTGAGTATTCTTTTGTGTTTACCAAATTCGCAAAAAAAAAACTGCCTCTTCTTGTTATTTTGGTTGCTGAACCCTGGGAGGGTATTGCATTGTAGTCTTGGTTTTGTCATAATTAGATAGAAACGATTTGTTTGCAGATTGTGCTCCATCTTACTGTAAAAGTCTCATTGCACAGTACAAATACTTACACGAGGTTTTTTTCTGCCAATAAAAAAACAGAGGCAATTTAAAACACGTTATGTTCACATTAGCAGTTGCAATCATTTCCATAGATGAATGCTGAGGCAGTGCACGTTGCTGGCTTTGACAATGATCCTAGTTGTAAAATGAGGTAGCTTCATGCAGAATTGCCACAACCAGGGTCTGTGTGTGTATATTTAAATTAAACCAATGTCTTCCATAATCCAGGGTTTTTTTTGGGTTAGATCGCATAAATATAGAAATGTGTAGTTAAAACCCGCCACCACCCGACACAGCCAATTAGTAAGGTTTGTCACGTAAACAGAACGTGGCAATTCGTTACTAGTCCAGCCACACACCGGTTGTGTTGGATAGCAAAGCCACAACATTTACAACACACCGGTGTGCTGTACTAGTAACGAATTGGCATGTTCTGTTTACGTGACAAACCGTACTAATTGGCTGTGTCGGGTGGTGGCGGGTTTAATGACACATTTATATTTACACGATGTAACCCCCAAAAAAAATCTGCATTATGGATGATATTGGTCGCGAAAGCCTAGGTGTGAAACCATTCTTATTTTACCAGGTAAGGCCCACTTAGCTATGAAGCTCTTTTTCAGAAGCAACCTCGCCACAAAAGATAGCTGAAACAAGTGGCCCATCATGTGGAAATGTATCGCAGCCAAATACTGAAAACGCGTGATGTTGATTCTAAATGTGGCGGGAAAAACCGGAGGACCCGGAGAAAGATCCACGCGACCACGGTGCGAACATGCGAACTCCAAATATACAGCAGGCGTCAGGGTCGGTATCGAACCCACGTCCTCCACCGTATAGCAGGCGATGTAATTAACGTATCGCCACAAACACAAGGATGATCCATTCATAGACATCCCACTGATTCATCTTCTTGGTTCTTTCGGTAAAGTCACGTAGAATGGAAATAATAATGAAATAATAAAAATAAAACATAATAAAATAATTCTCACGACGTTTCGGCCACAACGCAAGCAGCCGTCCTCAGGTGGAGAACAGGTCTGTCGAGAAGACAGCGTCTGAATTACACGCCCCAGGCCTGGAGCGACTATTTAGGCTGGGATGGAGGGGGAAGAGCGCCTTGACAAAATAATTTGCATATCAAGAGGAATTTAGCATATTTATGGGAAATGCAGATATGCGATTAGCACTACTTGTGAAATGCGTAGGAGGTTTGTAGTACTAATCGCATATCTGCATTTCCCATAAATATGCAAAATTCCTATTGATATGCAAATTATTTTGTCAAGACGCTCTTTGCCCCTCCATCCCAGCCTAAATAGTCGCTCCAAGCCTGGGGCGTGTCATTCAGACTCTGTCTTCTCGACAGACCTGTTCTCCACCTGAGGACGGCTGCTTGCGTTGTGGCCGAAACGTCGTGAGAATTATTTTAATTATGTTTATATTTTATTATTTTATTATTTCCATTCTACGCGACCTAACCGAAAGAACCAAGAAGATGAATCCCTGCAGTCACGAAAGCTTTAAATCGAAATCCCACTGATTTCCAATGATCCTCTTCGTGCATTCTCAGCGGGTGAAAGAGTGACTGTGAACGCGACGGCTCCGTCACGTCCAGGGGGACAGAGAAGGACTCCGGTGGTTCGCATTCGCTGATCTGTGGCGGTGCGCGCACGCACGCCTGGAGAGGCGCGCGGGCCATCCATTCCCGGGGAGAAATCCGGTCGTGCGCCACCGCAGAGGAAATCGAATTACAAAATAGTATTTCAAATGCCGTGACAAGGTTCCTATTAAAACGCGCAAAAAGGAAAACTAAGAAACCGGAGGGAATTTGTTGCGTTCACAGGATGTCGTGCTTGGCAGCCCTCAATCACAATCTATCATTGTGTAATTTCTCCCTATTATCTTAGTGGGGTGGGCTATACTGTAAAACGGATCACCCTTGTGGATATGAACAGGGAGAGAGAGATCTACTGCTGCTCGTTTGCTGCTCACAGCCTCTTTGCCTCGAGGCGGCGGGGGTGGGGGCTGGCACGTGCCGTGAGCTGCTGGATGGAGGTGTATATGAGGCTGTCTGACGGGCTGCCATCAGACTGCTCGTCTGCCGATCCGGAGACGCCGGAGCTGTCTGTGAATGCCCGCGCTGCTTTAGCACGAGGGTGAACAGCTGCAACGAGAACAAACAAAAAAAAGACATTCATATTTGCATTTTATACTTTTCCAAAACGTGCTTTTATTGTACAAATGCATGTGCCAGCTATTCACATCGCTTATCGCATTGCTTATTCATGCCCACCGATAAAAATGGCCCCTTAGTCATGATGAGAGTTATGATCAGCGGAAATGAACAACATTTTAATGTCGATTTAAAGCTTTCGTGACTGCAGGGATTCATATTCTTGGTTCTTTCGGTAAAGTGACGTAGAAGAGAAAAAAAATCACATAAAATAAAATTCTCATGACGTTTCGGCCACAACGCAAACGTCGTGAGAATTTTATTTTATTATGTTTTATTTTATTATTTTACTATTTCCCTTCTACGTGACTTTACCGAAATAACCAAGAATAACATTTGAATGATTTAACACTTGTTTTGTTTTCACGCATAGCGTACGTCTCATTCAAAGAGTTTTGCATTTCAATAATTGTGCATTTGAATGCAGTAAATGAAGTAATTACATTTTGTTTTGAATAAATGTAATACAAACTACTGTGGGTTTATCATTTTTTAAAAGGTTGTGTTCTTCTCAGCCATTTCCAACAACATTTAAACATTTCAGTTTGATCAAATGTGCTATTTGCTGAAACATATAAGGTAACAACGAATCAAACAACCCTAAATGTTTTTCAAGCGATTGAATAGACTGATTTCTTTTTTACCAAAGAACTGACAACTAATTTTACTAAGTTTATGCAAACTTGAATGTAATACTAATATATATAGCAAGTCCATTTTCCACATTTGTATTTACCCATTGCACTTTGTATTTATTCCGTTTTGGAAGCTGTGCTTGTTAATGATGATTTCCAGTCTGCAAAATGTCACCTCTGTGTGTTACGTGTTGACGTCCACTGAAGCCAGCTCAATGTTAAAGAAGCTGGCACGCTCATTGAGTGGAATACAAAATGACTTTAACCATACGTACTACCTGATCCGTTTTTTGTACATGTTTTTAAGCATTAAGTTTAGTAGTCAAAGTTATGAATCAACAACTCAGGTGTCACATGGCACTCTGATGAACGATCTTGGCAAAGCTATGTTAGGCCACTGTAAATTGACCTTCCTGGGACATTGGCTCTAGTTTAGTGGCCTGCATGGTCCCTGAAGCAACAACAATAAACAAAAAGCATCTATAAGATGTGTATATATACATATAACTACTCTCCACTGAAGCCAGCTCAAGTTACACCTGCATGATGTCTGACGTTTTGTACCACATGCTTTAGCTCTCAACACATAGAGCAAAACGTCGGACATCACGCGAAAGAACACGCAGTACAACCTGAAAACAGATCAGAGAGAGAGAGAGCGAGCTACCCGGGACGACCATGAAAAAGCCTAAGCAGTAGCACAAATATAACGAGGACTGGGCGGCCCTGCCCTATGTTTATGCATCACAATACCCAGCGGTGCATATCACGATCGGGTAACCACAGGTGGTAATGTGACAGATTACACTGCTGCTGAGTGAAACGTTTCCCTGCTGGCTGCTGCGTTTTCAGGTAAATTACATCAAAGCTGTCAGTGGCCACGCACTTTTGAATGTCTCTGCTTGTTATGTTCCATGGACGCTCATTGTGCGTGCGACTATGAAATCGTTGGATGGAAATGTCAAACGTCGAAAGTATGATCTCAAAAAGGGCTTCGACGAAATAGAGAAATCTCTTCTAACCAAAAGTTTTGATTCGACTTCAATGGCCATGTTATCTATGCCTTTGTTAAGTCACTATGTGATTATAGTCCCTAGATAGGATTCATATGCACAGACGTACAGTGAGCTCAGAATAAAAAATTATAAGAATGCACGTGTGTGGGTGTCACTGACAGTTGGCAAAATTGCTGTGTAAACCTTGGCAGAATTTTGGATGTGACTTAACTTACAATTATTGGTCAGTATAGATTTCCATTGGATAAACGAGTCCATGCCGATTATTGCAATTTAGCCTTTCCAGACGTTGGCTCAAGACCAACCTTGGTAATGAACACAGCCCGACACGCATTTCAACGAGGACTTTGACTTAACTTTCACTTTACCTATTGTCACGTATTGCATTAAAATGACATCACCAAATCCTTACAATGAAAGTTAATAATGCTTAAAAAAAAATTTCCTTTTCAAAACACAACCTCTATTGCGATGTAAATGTCCGGCCCTCGATAAATCCATTGCTGGATGGGAAGATCCTCCACGCCTTGCCGGCAGCATGGGCTCTTTGACCAAATTCTTAGGTTTTTTTCGGTAAAGTCATGTAGGTAAAAATTTTAAATTAATAAAAGTAAAATAAAAATAAAATAAAAATAACGACGTTTCGGAGGCAACACAAGCTTCTGTCTTCAGGTGGAACCGTCACAGCACGATAGCTGTATCAAGTGAGAGAAATTCCAAGAAAACAGTCCTTGTATATATACTGGTTGAGGGTGGAAGGAGCCAAGGCAGGCCCTGGATATTATTATTGTGAGGTTCGGTGCGGCTGAAGCACGCTGTTAGGAATGAGCCTTTGTTGTGTAAACTAGGTGCGGATTATGTAAAGGTGCGTGTAAATGGGACTGAGCCTTTTGTTATGTAGAGGTGATGCGGCTGAAATCGATGCCAGGAAATGAGTCTTTGTTGTGTAGAATGGTTGACTGAGCCTATTGTTATGTAGAGGTGGTGCGGCTGAAATCGCTGCCAGGAAATGAGCATACTTCACCAGGCCCCTGAGTTCATAGTGCCATGAGAGCCAGCACCACTGCGCCACTGCTCAACTCTACAACCTTTTGTAGTAAAGCAAAATGTCTAAAAAATTCAAATGTGCACTCATCTAAATTACTGTGATGACCCAATGTGTTTTGCATCTGTGAAAAGTCATTTACTGTGACACATCCATGCGATATATTTTCATTGCTTTGTAACTCTTGCATCCACCCCCATTTATCACCAGGCCCTCTGCTGCTAAAACGACCAATATATAAGCATTAAGATAGAAGTTCACTGCACTGAGGCAAAACCAAGGTTTATACCTAGATGAATGACGTCTGTAAATTGTATAATTTTAAAGGATGCTCCTTGTCTTGTGGTTATTGTTTTTTAGATTAAACTATGTTGCGATTTTCTCTCCCGCTCGATATGCCTTGTGCATACATTTTGCTGAGCCACCTTTGCTACGAAGCGGTCTCAATTGCTGCTTTAATAAGAGCTTTGCCTATGTATGCACGGTACAGATTGTGTATTTTAAAAGCTTTTCCCTTAATACTGAGCCTTGCTTTCTGAAAAAGGTGAACACCCTCCACTGGGCTGACAAATTAATTAAAATTTCTGTTCACCAATTGTTCCCCATTTTGTACTCATCACACTGACTGTTAATAAATAAACTCTGAGCACACAATTTTTGGGGCCATTCAATTGTGACTCTTCAATGACTGTACTGAGAACACTGCATTCGCTACATGAGAGCCTCGATAAATTAAGAAGACAATATTCAGATTTTATATTTTGAGCTCAGAGGCTCCAAACCAGAAACGTATACAACATTCACTTTGAATATAATTTTTCTTAATTGTGTCTGGATTAATTCCCACTTGACCACTTCCAAAATTGGCGCAGCTTGATGCCTATGATGATATTATACCAATGAAAATGTTAAGCTGCATACTGCTAATGATGCAACTTGTGTCCTGTGTTACATGTGTGTAGTATGTGTGAATGTATAATCAGTGTTGACATGGTGTCTGGATTTGTTGGGTTGCATGAAGACAATCATACTCCATGGTGATTTGATATATTACAAGATCCTCCAGAAATAGAGCCTTCAACCTCAGTGTGACCTTTCTGGGTAAATACATAATTATTATATTTCTCATGGCAAACAAATACATGAGTTCCCATACTCATATTGTGATTTGCGTGGTGCTTATCTGTGTTCACATTCCTGAGTCTGGTGGTGTAAATTCCTCATCCCCATCGTGGTTAGGTGCAGCATGTCCATGCAACAACCAACATTGCCAGGCACACTTCAGGCAGTGGGAAAGAAAGTCTAGCTAGTTTGACATGGGCCAGCATGGGATATCTTGGAATCCCATGGGAATGCGGTCGCCTATTAGGATTTCCAGCACAAGGAATGTTACACTAATGAGAAATGAGTCGTACAAGATGAATTGTTTCACTCCTTTGACACTATGTCCCAGTCATGCTGTCATACACAACGTTGCATATAATGATGCTTTCTGATGTCTTACAGGGGAATGAGCACATTTGTGCCAACGAGGATCGATGTCCCTGTGGAACCACCTTCGTTCAGGCACTACAATGCATGCTTCGTGTCTTTAATAGTGCATAGAGTATACATACAGCTAGATTTGAAGCTTTCGTGACTGGAATGATTCATACTCTTAGGTTTTTTCGGTACGTGACTTTACCGAAAAAACCTAAGAGTATACATACAACGTACACATACATTCACTGTCTTGGTGTGGATATTTATAAAAAAGATAATAACATGCCAAAAGGCAACAGATACCTGACTGTTGTGGGTCTTACACAATCAAGTCTCTGCAAAAAACATATATTTTTTTAAAGAATAGAGTGAAGCTTCGCCAGTCCTAGTTTAGATGTTACGACAAGGAAGTCATTGTTTGGTTTGTGTCAGGCTTATGAATGAAGATGCTCTGCAGTGCCTTGGGTTTAGTTCCTAAGCAAGGTTGGCTATATGCATAAGAATAGAATGCACTGGGCAGCATTAACAATGGGACTTTGCAAATTGTATGACACCTCCCTTTCTGAAAAGTTGTAGGCAATGCAGTAGTTGCTTTGAATTACGTCACGTAATATTTTTCCTCTATCTTAAGTAGATAAAGAGTTTTAATATCAATATTTGACAGGGTATTAAATATTGTTATGCTTACATCCCAAGGATAAACAATTTCCATTCTGTTCTGGAACAAGGATGAACACTCACTGCACAATAATT